GGTTGTAAAACGGATAGAAAAAGCACAAGTGGTACTTGTCACATTCTTGGTAATGCATTAGTATCATGGGCTTGCAAGAAACAAGCATGTGTTGCCCTTAGCACGACCGAAGCTGAATATATTACAGCGGGTAGTAGTTGCGCTCAAATTTTGTGGCTAAAACAACAACTTCGTGACTACGGACTCGGTCTAGGGTGAATTCCTCTAAGATGCGACAACACCAGTGCAATTAACATTACAAAGAATCCCGTCATGCATTCAAGAACTAAACACATAGACATTCGACATCATTTCCTCCGTGATCATGTTCTTCAAGGAGATGTCGAGGTAACCTTTGTAAATACTCATAATCAGCTTGGCGATATCTTCACCAAACCTTTGGCAAGAGAACCATTCTACAAAATTCGATGAGAGCTTGGCATACTTGACGAACACGACTTATAAGGTGCATTCTACCCTTGATATAATTTTATATATGTTTTATACATGCTATATGTGAATCTATGTTATGTGGTATTTAAATTTTTAAGAAAAATTTGGTTTTGGACTTTTTTTGTTGATGCAAATCGATTGCACAAAGAGTGTCAATCGATTACTCACTGGGTATTTTCAATTTCGTTCATTCTGTTTCAAGTGCAAATCGATTGCACCTTCAATGCAAATCGATTGCACTCTGTGCGTTTCTGTTTTATTTTGATTCTGTTTGTGTGCAAATCGATTGCACCTGAAATGTAAATCGATTGCACATTCGGCAACTTGCTTTTATGACAGAAAAATTATGTTGGTCAGAATTCCTCTCTCTCATATTCCCAAGCCAAATACACTTTAATACAAAACACTCATTCCCTATCTATCCAAATCATTTCCAAATCTCAGCTCACAAACACCCTTCTCTCTCACAAAACCTAAAAACCCCAAAACTAAAAAAAAAACTCCATACCCATGGCTTCAAGACAAAAGAGAAAGGCTCCAGCTTCAGAAAAAGGGAAGAAAAAGGTTGATTCAACATCCAATCCATTGCTTTCAACTCTCACCGAAGAGCAAGAAGCCAGATTTATCAAAGACTTTCAAAGGAAAATAGTATCCAACCCCAAATATGGTATGCTATCCTCCTTTCCACAAGAATGCTTTTCCTTTCAAAATGATCTAGCTGCTTATGGTCTCGAACCATTAATTTCTTCGTTCGGTCCATATTACCCGTATTTGGTAAGAATGTTTTTCAGCAATCTAACACCCCAAAAAGGCAAATTGGTCACATATGTGTTGGGCACTCGTATCTCTCTAACTCCTCAGGTTGTTGGTGAGATCCTTCATATTCCTTTCACTGGAATTTCCCTATATGATCCTGAAAACGAGATATGGGATGACTACCGGAAAAAGGAGTTCTTTTACAGCATTGGGCGGTTAAATAAAGCTGAATTTTGTGCCAAACGAATTCGTGGTCTTGGCCGAGTAATTCCATCCAGAGACTCCTGGAGTGCAGGTAACCTCCATATAGACGATCGCTTATATCATTATTTTTTGGTCCATATTATGTTTCCAAGAGCTAGAAACCACTGCACTGTTACCGACTTGGAAATGCAGCTAATTTATGCAATAAAGAAAGGAATAAGTGTAAACTGGGCAAGGCTTATCATGGTGCATATGATGAGAGTTGATGCAAAATCTAAATTTCTTCCATATGCTTATTTTGTTACTTTAATTATGGAGGAATTTGGTGTGGATTTTGTTGGGTTTGAAAAGGTGAATATGGATCCTAATCTAAACAAGATTTCCATTAAGAATGTTGACTCCAGAATGGGCGTGCATTACAATTCAGAAACAAAAACCATCACTTACATTGGGGAAGATGTTGTTGGCGATGAAGGAAATGACCAAAAAGTCGAAGACGGTGAAGCTGTGCCTCCTCATCCTACTGCTCTCTCTGGTCCAAGCAATCAAGAGCTTATGGATTACATGTCTCAACAATTTTCTTTCATGAACACCAGCATCAACAGTCAATGGAGTGCGATCAATGATTCCACTACAACCCGGATAAATGACTTCCGTACGGATGTGAACCAACAATTTTCATACCTTTACTCTCATCTTCATATTCCACCATATGATCCAAATAATCCAGCCGCACCTCCTCAACACTACACAGAACCCCCACTTCAACAATAATTCCCGAATCAAGGCTCTTGGTCTTATAACCATCCAGACATGCATCACCCTTAAAGTTCTGGCTAACTTTTTTTTCTGTTATATTCTTGTCTTGTTATTCAATGTTTTGTTTGTTCAAATTTATGTGTAATTCTTAAACAATTTGTGTTACTTGTTTAAATGCTAAATTTTCTGAATATATTGCTCTATTATTATTTGTTTTTGTGCATCTTTCCCTTCTTTTTGATAATGTCAAAGGGGGAGAAATATGTGGTACTTTATGCTTGTATGTTCCTTGTTTTTTTTAAGGTACTCTCCAACCAAGATTAAGAAATGCAAAGGATTCCAACCCTCTCCTACATAGGGGGAGTTTTGCATCTTAGGGGGAGAAGCTCTTCCGGAAAGTACATCGCATAAAGCAAGATTATTTGTCATCATCAAAAAGGGGGAGAATGTAAAATCAAGCCTCTCTAATGAGCTTTTGTTTTAATGAAGACAAATCATGATTGAAAAAGAAGGCAAAGATCTATGATCAAGCTCAAAGCATCTAAGGACAATATCTTCACCTCAAAGCTCTCAACAACTTTCAAGGTGTAATAATATTACTTACTTTGGTCTTAAGATATAGATGCTCAATTTTGAAAAAGAAATGTTTAAAAATCATTACTCAAGTTTTTCAAAGTTAAAATTTCATTTTTCACTTGAGTGCAATCGATTTGCATTTTAATGCAATCGATTGCATGCTTCAATTTTTCATATCTTTTGCTTCTGTTTCTCTGTGCAATCGATTTACATTGCTTGTGCAATCGATTACATATTTAAAATTTTCAAAATGTTTGCTTCTGTTTCTCAGTGCAATTGATTTATATTGCTAGTGCAATTGATTGCACTCACTTACTTTTTGCTACTGACTTTACTTGCAATCGATTTACATTGCTAGTACAATCGATTGCACACTTAAAACTTTTGAAAATATAGCTGTTGAAACCTTGTACAATCAATTTACACAAAGGATGCAATCGATTGCATGCTGCACGATTTTGAAAAAACAACAGCTTTTCACATGCCTGTTCATCATGCCTTTTCATTGAAACCTTTCATTCAAACTTGGCATTTGTTCATGATACGTTTTTTCAGAATTTCATGATGTTTCAAAAGGGTGTTATGAACATGTAAATATTCATTTTCAAAATTTGTTTCAACACCTCTTCCATAATTATTTTCTGAATTTTAAAAATACAAACTCAAACATTCCTCCACTTTCATGCATAAGTTTTCTGCATATTTTCATACATCTTTAAACAGAAAATTTTGAGCAATTATATCTTGAGTCATTGTACAATAATATTATTGGAAGAGAAGATCATACATTGTTAAATCACTCTAAGTGATCAATACCACTCAACTCACTCAAACTCAAATATTGATAATTACTTACTTATTTTTCCAGGATTGTTGGAAATAAGTTTAAGTGTTTTTGAAATCTTGTCTTTTCAAAGTTGTTGGATACAAGTGTAGTCACTTTGAGAGGATTGTTCTCATAGTTGACATAGTGAAAATCCAAGAGGATTGTTCTTGGTCCAAGAGGATTGTTCTTGGTAGTTTGGTAGTTCTTGTTTAAGTTTGCCACAATAAGGAAATCTCTTTCATGTTGAAAGGGGACTGAAGTACTCTTCGACTGTGACGAGAACCAGAATATATCGCCCGTGTCTCTTTATTTTTCTGCATTTTTAAGCTTTCCTAAACTCACTCTTAACCAGAAAAATAAAAACCATCATCACTAAAAACCAGAATTTTTAAAGTACCTAATTCCCCCTCCCTTTTTTAGGCGCACTTCGTACTTACAAAAATTATATGGAAAGATCTTGAAATTTTACGTGCCTTGCCAAATTGTAATTATGGAGCAAATTCTCAAATTATCTTCCACTCATGCTTTTGAAAATTAATTTTTAACCATGAATCATGTTTTACTCAGGAACATCATTCATTAAAGATGGATGAAGATGCTAATATGCTTCATATATGCTTTCAAAAACTCTTCTTAGATCTCTTATGTTGGTCTAATTTTTTTTGTTTTGAAAACGAAGCTTGGTTAATTGATTATGAAACAAAAAGCTATACCCTAATCAATTATGACAATAATCTAATCAATTGCGGGACCAACTCATTCAATAATTAATTAAGAAAAATTTATAATCAATTAAATTTGAGCTGCATTCTAATTGATTATGAAAGGTTTTGATCCAAATTTTTCTCTTTTTTTCCAAATTTTTTACTATAAAGAAAGACTTGTGTTCCTTTGAAAACACGCAAGAAATCTCAAATAATCTCTCTTTTATTCACCTAAAAACTATTTTTATATTTCTTTTTTAAAGTTGTTGAATTTGTTTTATATCACATCAAGGTTTAAATAAGATTATTCCTGAAGACAAGTCAGGAAGAAGAGATAGGATAAAATTTCACATGATAACTAGGTTGGAAGCATTGATAGAGACAAACTAAAGGAAAAGTTGTATTTAAACCATCATGTATTGATACAACTAAAAGTGCCAATTTCTTAAACACTATTCATAATTAAAAAAATCTAGATATTTGATTAATGATTACTTTAATTCATAATTATATTTTCCTTCAACTATCAACAAATAGAAATAATTAAAAAATCATTATTAACTATCGGTTGAAATCACAAAAATCTTTCATCCTGAAAATGATTTAAAAAAATCCTTCTCAACTGGATAAACTAAATGAATACACCATATTATGAATCATTCACTTCAAACTCAATTTTAACTACACACTTATTTTACAAAGCAGTGCAAAATTCTAAATAGCTTTTTTTTTTTTTGTTACATTTAAGATTGAGGTGGTGGAGAAACAATAGTTGCTGGTGGAGGTGTTAAAGCATAGCCACTCTTGGGATTGGTATTTGGCTCAGGCTCTGAATAATCCATTATTTCATACACTTCACTCATTTTCCTATCACCATCCTAAATAAATAAATATAGAACAGTTTTTTTAATTAATTTTCAGCATAAGAAATCAATTATTTAGTTTGTGAAAGAAAAATTAAATAACAAACTAACCATGAGTTGTTTAAAAGAATGTTCATCTTCAATTGTCTCCATCATTGCAACTCTCCCAAAACCTTACAATTAAAAATCAAACCAAATGAAGAAAAAAATGAACAAACAAAACAAGTAAAAGATAATCAATGTAAAGATATCGAGTGAAAATTACTAGGATTTTAAATTAGGGTTTTAAAGAAATTGTCCGCGACTGCAAAACCGTCGGTATAGACGGATACAATTATCGCTGTTTTATATGTTAAAGAATAAATTGTGATTAATTTATATCGTGTAGGGATCATAAACAGTATCACAACACAGTGAAATCGCGAAATTGCGAAACCTTTAATGCAATTGTATTCGCAAATTTTGAGATCTCCACATACCTAATTTCAACCATGAAAGAGATTTTACTTACCACAAGCAAATGAGAGAAAGAGGATGGATGAAAGAAGAAGCAAAAGAAAATGTGAGCGATTCATTGTTTTGTGATTGGTGATGAATATTTTATGGTAAGAATGAAAAGAGGAGTGAGTATATATGTGTAAGAATGAGAGTGAAGTGTGTGAGCGTGAGATTCTGAAAAAGAAACCGACTTTGATTTATGCTTAGATCCAACAACAACATTGGAAATAGCAAAGTGGTACTTTTGTTTGTTGGCATCATATGCTTTATACACGTTTTGTTTGTTATACTAATTAGGTTGTCTTTCAAGGCTTGAATAAAATTGAATATATTTACAGTGATTAAATAATAAAAGAATATTTAAATATAATTTTATATATGTGATTTATACTTTTCTTCAATAAAATATGAAAATATATTTAAATATTTTTGAGTAAAAATAAGAAAAAAAAATTGTATATATAAAAAGAAAATATATTTATTATATTTTCATTGGAAAAAATATAATCCACAGCTAAAGAAATGCACTTAAATTTTTTCTTAAATAATATGTCAATATTGTTAAGAGACTTTATTACACCATAGTTTAAATATGCACCCTAGACTAAAATTGTTAGGAGTCTTTAATATTAGTGTGTTCTGAATGGACGATGTAGGACGGACACGTACATATTAAATATATGAAGATTACAATTGTATCAGAGATTTTTTTTTCACATTATTACGTTGAATTAAATTTTTGAAAACTTAAAAATATTTTTAGAGGAATCAAAATCATATTTATAAAGATTAAAAATGTATTTAATTTTTAAATAAAATCAAAAGAAATTTGAGAAATTAGATTGTTTTAAATATGTATATTCGAGTGAATCTTTAAAAAATTTAAATTTAGTGCGTTCGATTATGCACTTCCGTATTCTAGAGATATTTTGAATTTTTCGGCAGAAACATGCAAGAAGATATCAAGGTGTAGCAAGAAATTCTTTTATATTATATCTCTCAAGATTAAAATTATAAAAATAGAGGAGGCATGCTTAAAATATTTATCTGTTTAAAAAAAAAACGGACAAAATATGATTCAACTTCACCCAAAGTCATGTTGGGGGATAAATATCGGAAATTTTTACCAACATACCACTCTTTTAACAATAAATTTTCATATTACCACACGTTTCAACTCATATTCCCAATATACCACCTTTTCAAACAAAAATAAAATGAAAATAGGAGGCTCTGCCCATTGGATGGGCGAATGGTCTTTAATTTACATAGCTTTCCGCCTATTGGGCTGGCGGAGCTGTTTATATGTTGTTTTTTTTTAATATAATGTTAGAACTCTTCCGCCCATCCAATCGGCGGACTCTCTACAAATTTCAACGCTTTCGCCCAATGCTTTTGCGGATGGTAAAATTTTACAACAGCTCCGTCCATTCACTTGGCGGATGTTTTGTGACAAAAATAAAATTTGTTTGAAAAGATGATAGATTGAGATTATTGAGTGAAGGTGATGGTATATTGGGATTTACTGTACAAAAAGATGGCAAGACATTAAAAAGTTCTAAATATCGCATGTGGCAATTTAAACTTGAATGGTGATAAATTTTTCCTAATTTACATGAGGAAACAAACTCAGTATTGTATGAACAATCTCCATAGAAAGAGGCACGCGTTAACATTACCAGTGAGAGAATAACCAATTTATAATATCTATAGAAGTCTACATTTGAAACACAATATCTAAAGTCATCCAAAACTGTTGGAACAAAGGATTCAAGAAAGATAATATTGTGAAAACAAGAAGAAGAAGAAGAAGAAGAAGAAGAGAAATTGAGAGTTAGTTAAGTGTAACTAACTTTCTAACTGAATGAATTATTATTGCATCTATTGCTTCTTATGATTACAAATACAATGACCCTTTATATAGGCAAAGTGCTCAGGCCCAAATACATGCTAAAAGCCCAAATAACTACATAACAAAAATTAACCCACTAACACACCCCCTAATTCATGTTATCAAGACTTCTCATCCCGATGCCTTTATTTAAATCTCTGAACCTCACTTTCTTCAGAGGTTTGGTGAATATGTTAGCTAGTTGTACTTTTGTCTTGCAATGTTTTATTTCAAGCTTCCCTTTGTTGACTTGATCCCTCAGAAAATGATATCTTCTTTCAATGTGCTTACTTCGACCATGACACACTGGGTGATTCGCAAGGTTTATAGATGACTTGTTATCAACAAACAAATTTATCTTCGATTCCATTATTCTGAGTTCTTCAAGTAGCATTTCGATCCATACTGCTTGGCATACAGCATATGATGCAGCCACATATTCTTCTTCACGTGATGACAAAGCCATAATGCTTTGCTTCCTCAAACTCCTGGAGATAGAGCTCATTCGATCATGAAAATTTATCCTGCAGTACTCGTCTTTTCGTCTTGATCTCCACTGAAATCTGAGTCAGTGTATCCATGAACTTCGACATCTGAGCTGTTTTTCGATTTCTTTAGTAACAACACACCATGATCAATAGTTCCCTTTATGTATCTCAACACCCTCCTTACTACGATGAAATGACATTCTTGAGGCTTCTCCATAAATCTGCTTAACAATCCTACACTTTGGAAGATATCTAGTCTAGTATTGCAAAGATACTTCAAGGATCCAATGATTTGTTTGTAAAGGGTCGAACTTACAAATTCATCTTTCAATTCCTTTTTTAGCTATGCTCCAGTATCTAATGGAGTAACAGAAGCCTTATAGTTGCTCATATTGAACCTCTTCAGTATATCTTGAGCATACTTCGTTTGATGTAAGAAAACTCTTTCTTCCAAGTCTTTGAATTCCATTCCCAGGAAATAGGAGAGATTCCCTAAATCAGACATTTAGAATTCCTACATTAACTTCGACTTTACCTTTATTATCTCAACTTCGTCTACTCCTGTAATGAGTAAGTCATTAACATAGAGACATAAAATGATTTGATTGACACTTTCGACATCATTAACATATACTCCATGTTCAGAAACACACTTTGTGAAATCTGCTTCGATTAGGAAGTTATCTATCCTTTTATTCCAAGCTCTAGGAGCTTGCTTCAAGCCATATAGATCCTTCCTTAATCTGTAAACTTTTGAATCCCGCCTTTTGGCGTTGAAACCTGGTGATTGAGTAACGTAGACTTCTTCTTCTAATGGACAATTAAAAAATGATGACTTTACATCAAGTTGGTGCATTTTCCATCCTCTATATGCAGCTACCGAAACAACAATCCTGATTGTTTCTATCCTTGTAACACGCACATATACTTCACCGAAGTCAATACCAGGTTTTTGTAGAAAACCTCTGGCCACCAGTCTTGCCTTATACTTTGTAATCTCACCATCTGGCCTTTATTTCACATTGTAGATCCATTTCACATCGATTGGTTTCTTGTTGGTTCTTTCGACAAGCTCCCATGTCTTGTTCTTCTCAATGGATCTAAGTTCTTCTTTCATGGCTTCACACCGATTCGAATTGCTCAAGGCTTCTCCCAAATCAATTGGTTCTGCTTTAGCCTTCATCATGGCTTCTTCTATCAAGTCACCATCTGCATCGATTGCTTGATCTGGAAACCTCTCATATCCAATCAGCCTAGTCAATTCAGTTATTGTTCTTGTGGATCTTATTTCATTCTGCACAGGTAGTTCTTCATTTCGTCTTGTCGAAGCTTCATTTTGTTCATCTTCTTCAAACACAGTTGTGATTGTGTCTGATTCTTATCGAACTAAACTTCTATTCCAATCCCACCCTTTTCTTTCGTCTACAAGAACATCTCTACTGATCACTAGTTTATCTTCGATTGGTGAATACAACTTGTATGCACCAGTCAAATGATAACCTATGAGCACCATGACTTCACTTTGATCATCCAGCTTCTTTCTCAATTATTCAAGTACATGCCTGAAACACATTGATCCAAAAACTCTAAGATGACTTACATTTGGCTTCGACCCTGTCCAAGCCTCATGCGGTGTCTTTTCAACCATCTTCTTTGTTGGGCATCTATTTAGAGTGTATACTGCTATCGAAGCTGCTTTAGCCTAAAATCTCTTAGGCATATTCTTAGCTTTCAACATACATCTCGTCATGTTCAGTACACTTCTATTCTTTATTTCATCTATGCCATTATGCTGAGGCGTATAGGGTGCAATATCCTCATGCTCTATACCTTCCACATTGCAAAATCTAGCAAATTCAGCAGAAGTATATTCACCACCACCACCAGTTCTTAACTTGTTCAATTTGCAGTCACTTTGTTTCTCAGCATGCAACTTGAACTTCTTGAACTATGTGAATACCTCACTCTTCCTCTCAATAAGGTAAATCCATATATGTCTGGTGAATTCATCAATGAAAGTAAGGAAATACCTGTTACCTCCATTCGACTTTACTTCAAAGGGTCCACACACATCTGAATGAACCAGCTCCAGTTTTTGCCTTGATCTTATAGGAAAGTCACGTTTGAATGCCTTTATTGCTTGTTTTGCTTTGCAGCATTACTCGCATATCTGCTTTGGTTCCTTCACATACATCAACCCAAGCACCATTCTTTTCTTATTGAGCATACATAAACTCTTGAAGTTTAGATGTCCATACATGTGATGCCATAGCCAGTTCTTGTCTTCTTCTGTAGTCGAAGAAAGACATTTGTGATCTGATGTGTCGAGCTCAACCTTGAACGTTTTTTTCTCCACCAATGGTTCTTTCATGATTAGCCTCTCATCAGTCCCATATACCTTCATCTGATTATTCTCCAACTTCATATTGAAGCCTTTTGCATGTAATTGACCTACACTTATCAAGTTACATGTCATCAAAGGTACATATAGAACTTCAGTGATAATAGCCTTTCGACCATCCTTTCTGATAATCAAAATATCTCCTTTACCACATGATTTGATATGCCTTCCATCTGCAAACTTTATCACCTTTTCGACTGATTCATCTAACTTGGTAAACCAGTTTTTATTGCCAGTCATGTGGTTGCTCATCCTGAATCTAGATACCACATGTTGTTTTTCTCAGTAGTCGACTGA